ACCGCCCGTCGCCGCGTCGTCTTCTGCCGCTGCGTCGCCCCCTGCATGTCAGGCGCGCGATTCGCAGGGCGATGGCGACGACGTGCCGAAGAAGGCTCGCGTGAGCAGCGCCAGCAAGGTGGCGGGTCTGCCACCGGGCGAACCTGTACCTCCGGGCGCGATCGTTCGCCCTCCTGGAATGCCTCCTATGATTCCGCCGCCCAAGCACAAGCCCGCTGTCCTCGCGCCGAGGCAGCCAGACGGACCGCCGCCCGCGCGCATCAGCGGGACTCCTCTGCCGCCTCCGCCACCGGAGCCGCCGCGCAGGGTAGAGCCGCTACCGCCGCCGCCACCGCCTCCAGCGAGTGCTGTTGCCGCTGGCAGCGACGACGAATCGAGCGAGACTCGCGTGTCTCGTTCAGGATCCCCGACTTCTCCTATCGAAAGGGACCTGGCCACGGTGGGTGGTGGGCGGGCCTGAGATCCAGTCGGGGATTTCGAGCCGATTGCAATTGGCGCAGCTCAGCTGGATTCACTTTTCGAGCACGGCAAGAAGAGGAATTTCATCACGTACGTTGATCCTCGATTGTTTCCATCAGAGGGGTCGAAGGGCCGCGTGTGAGAGTAGGGCACTGGGGAATTGGTGCGTGTGAGCTGCAAGAATGATCCGTTCAACACTCAGATCAAGTTCCCGCCGGCATGGTCTTCCTGGAAGAAGAGTTCTACGGGTCACCAAGGACATCCAGTCCTGGAAGCGTATAGAAGATCGTGTTGCCATGAATTCTTCTGTGGATGCTGAGGAGTTCGATAGAGTAGCAATCTTTTGTGCAGCCTCCGAGGATCCGCGTTGACGGAACATCGTATTCGTCCGCGCCACTGCAGCTGGACCAGCATGAGATGACTACCATGAATGCTAAACATCGCACCAAATATTGCTCTGGATTGCGTGACATCAGTATGCAAGATGAGTTGGTATCTGCGTGTGTTGCCGAGCTGTCCGCACCAGGCATTTCTGGTGCGGACAAGGAGATCGTCGAGAAGGTGATCGGGAACACCGATCCGCCTCGCGGAGGAGTGGGGGCCAACCTGACCAGGGCTCTGCCTTGCGTCATCGGCATCGCGTTCGCCTGCCCGGTCTCGAGCGACGCGGTCGCGCGCCCAGATTGGAAGCCACTGATTGTAAAAAACATAGCCGAGCGCAGTCCTGATCTCGTTGTCGCCTACTCATCATCATCACATCATCATGTGATCAGTGATTGTTTCTCTGGTTTGCCTCCAGATAGTGGTCCCGTAACTGTTGCCCTTGGTTATGAGCCTGGTTGCTCGTGCCTTGAGGTTGCTAGCGCGCTGTGCTCGTGCCTCGAGTCAGACGCAGACATCGCGAGTTAGAAATTCCGTGAATTCCTCAGAGAGTCATGTCCGACAGTTAGACTGGATAGACTTGCGCTCGCAGCTTTCCCCGCTGAAGCCGCAGAGGAGAGAGTTCGAGGCGACGTGGGCGCGATCGTCGGTGATGACGACGTCGCCGCAGTCTCTCAGGAACGCCTGCGAGATGAGGAGCAAGATGCGAGCCGAAACACGAAGGACAGAGAAGGAAAGCGTAGTTGCAGATTCCGCTCCGCACAGGGATCGCCATTAGACGACTGCGCAGACAGTTTGGTCATTTGCCTAATCGTTTTCTCGTGCAGCTGTTGAGGAGTTCCAGGATGTCATCGGACTACATTGAAGCTGCCAAGATTTATTGATGTGAGTCTTGTGAACATCACACACCGCTAGCTCAGACTCACAAGGTTGCCTTGCCCGAGAAGTTCTGCTTCAATCATGAAATCGGTATCGACTATCTAGAGGTGACGGACAATAGTGGAGAACGTTGCACCTTTCTGAACATAGTGTGCCAGGGTGCAACATTTTAGCGTGTGATCTTTGTCAATCAGGGAGGTGGTGCGCCATCTTCGGGGGCATGCCTCGCTGCACTTCAGCGACGCTGGTGTGCGTGGGCAGGTGAGCCCAAAAGAACGGTGTTGTACCGTGGGCGGCGCAACCGAGGGGTGTTTCTGCAATGTGTTAAGAGTCCATGGATCGACCTCCGCGACGCCGGAGTCGAGTCTCCCGAGCAGATAGGCCGCGCCGAGAGACATGGTGGACTTTGGAAGAACATCCTCAATAATGTGGTACACGACAAGAATGTTTCCAGACTCGATGCAGTCATCTCTACTGCATCAGAAGTCGACAACGCGAAGAGTGAGATGTCACGAGTCGGCGGATTTGCGCCTGCTCAGTGGGTGCTCGGAAAAATGCTTCGCGTCCCAGGGAGTAAATTCGACGACGAGGAAGCTCTCGACTTAGGAGTACTTGCTAATGTTGCAGAGGACGGAGCCGACGAGTTTTCTCGCCAGGCTGCGATCTGGACGTCCGCCAGAAAAGCATGTGCAGAACACGACGTCGGGAGTAGGACGGCAAAGGCCGCTCTCCGAAAGGCGACACCATTAGTCATATCAAGTAGGTGACATAGTTTGCTTTCGCCAGAGGCCGACCGACGGCGAGGTTACCGCTAAGTGGAACACTGTCTCTCGTATCGTTGGATTCGATGGCGAGAACGCATGGGCTATCACAGAGGGTGTACCTGTCTGCGTGGCTGTCGACAGGCTTCGACCGTGTACAGCGGCGGAAGCGTTGGCTTACCAATATCTTCCTAAGCACCATGGCGGTGGCGTTGAGAAGCAGGCGCCTCCAGACGGGCAACGGCAGTCATACGTGGACGAGCGACGTGAGCTGCCAGAACCACGGGCGCAAGAGCATTCCGCGCAATAACATCCTGCGGCGACGGAAGAGCTGCCGGGGATCCCAGAAGACCCCGAGTTCATAGTGGAAGCATTTCGTCAAATTGAAGAAGACAGACTGTCAGACGGAATGGTCGTTCCTGTGCCGCCCGCGACGAGATCGCCACAAGTGACTCGAACGCCTCTTCAGAGGTCGTCACTATACGACGTCCCGCACGGTATGCAGAGTCGTAAACGAAGTGATGCGCAGGAGAGTCGAGAATGCCGATGGTAGTACGGGAAGGGTTTCCGATTCTGTCTCGGAGCCAGCTCCCGAACCAGCGAACCCACTTCTTGAGACCATGCGCAGGGCCGGAACATCAGGGCCGGGCATGGGTCTTCTAGCTCGCAGAGAAGCTCCACTCGCTGTTAAGCCATTTGAATTGCTTGTCGGATTCTTCAATGAACGCGCCTTGCATAAGCCGCAATCCAAGGAAGAGCTAAAGAGTGCAAAGAATTTATTAGATCACGGGGAATCTGAGGACGGTAGAAACGGTTTCCGACTGGCAAGACAAGACGAATGGGGAAAATGACGGAAACTCAACGCCGCCGTGCCTATTGATTCCGTGGAACTGCAAATTCTTCTCGACGAAGGATGCCGCATGGTAGCTGCGCAATGGATTGAGAGGGACAAGAATGAATATCTCCATAGACTGTGTGGACCTCCGGTTGCACCGCAATGCATGAGTAGACTTGTCGCGCGTGGAGATATGGAAGAGTCGTTGGGCATCCGTGCGGATCCACCTACATGCGAACTCGAAGGGCTAAGGTTGATCGTATCATGGGCTGTCGGTACACTGAAGACGTGCAAGTGTGCCGACGTTGCATCTGCGTACTTCCAGGGGGAGGCCGTCTCGGACCATCTTGGGCGGACTTGGAGGCCATGTTGGGCCATTTTGGAGGCCATCTTGGGCCAACGTGGCCACCTTGGAGGCCATCTTGGCCATCTTGAGCGAACAATTGGGGAATTGTTCCTTTCCCGGTGGCCGGCGGGACGGGCCGAAGCCCCAGGGGGAGTTCTTTTGGAAACAGAACCAAAACCAAAACCGAAAAGTCCAGCACGCCAGGCACCCCTGCGATGAATCGACAGGGGGCGGCGGATCTAGTGGCCTTCGTGGGGACTCAGACGGGCTTCTTGGGGGCCTCTTTGGGCCTCTTGGGGGCCTCTTGGGAGCCTCTCTGGGCCACCTTGCCGCCTCTTGAAGCCTCTTGGGGGCTTCTTGGCGGGATGCTCGGATTTTCGATTCGTGTTTCCCCTTCTGGGTTCCTTTTGGGGCCGTCTTGGGGCCCTCTTGGGTTGAGGCCCTCTTGGAGGCCTCTTGGGCCGTCTTGGGGCTGTCTTGGGGAACTCTAGGGCCGTTTGGGGGCGTCGGGGAGCTGACAAGGTCAGAACGCCAAACTTCTTCAAACACCTAAGGCAAATCCATGATTTTGGCCTCTTCGGGCCCTCTCGGGGGCCTCTTGGGCCGTCTTGAAGCGGTCTTGGGAGCGTCTTGGGCCGTCGTGGAAAGGCGGCAAGGCGGGAGCGCGAAACGCCGTCAGACACCGATCACTTTCGCCTTGTGCGGGCCTCTTCGGAGGCCTCTTGGAGGTCTCTTGGGGCGTCTCGGGGGTCTCGAGGTCTCTCTAGGGTTAAATCGGGCTTGTCCCTCTACAGGAAAATAAACAAATAGTAAAACAATACTCTGGGGTCGATTCTTTGACTTTTTAGATTTTTTTCTTCCAAAATCTCCCTGTAGGGGGACATGCCCGACCTGACTCTAGGGGCCAGCTGGAGCGTCTGAGGTCGATCTCTCTGGAGCTCGAGGCGGTCTCGGAGGACCCTCTGGGCACCCCTCGTGGGCCCGAAGACGTCGCGCGACAAGGCGCGGCGAGCCCCAGGGGAGCCGCGGCGAGCCCCAGAAGACTTGGTACCTTCGGGTTCCGGGCCCCTCAAGAGACTCCTCGGGGGTGAGGGCTGAGGCTCCGGGGATTGGGCAGAGGACCCGGGGGACACGCCCACTCCGTGCCCAGAGGCACGTTGGCGGATTTAGGCGATGCGATGCGGCCCGATGCACGCACGGCGGCGTCGTGCATCCAAGCGCGGCCGATCCGATCCGATACTGACTCTGAGCCGATGCGGCCCAATTCGATGCACATTCCGATCCGATGCGATTTCCTGTTTCGATGCTGGCAGATCTTGTCTTGTGCTCGCCGACACAGGCGGGAGGCGCACGTGCTGGTAAAGAACACCTTTATCAACGTGTCGGAGGACGACGACGAGGACGAGCAGCCCTCGTGCTCACCGTCGGCCGCAAATGTCCCCAAACCCTGATTCTCGATCCTTCTTTCTCCTCACCACCTCCCTCCCTCCCTCCCTCCTCCCTCCCTCCTCCCTCCTCCCTCCTCCCTCATCCCCCTCATCCCCCTTCTTCCTCCTGCTTCTCGCTCCTCCTTCCTCTTCTTTCCACCCACTCCCTCCTTACCCGTCCTTCCTCCTCTCTCCTCCCACTTCCTCCCTCTCCTCCTGCCTCCTCCTCCTCCGCCCGCCCCTCCTCCTCCTCCTCCTCCTCCTTGGCCATTTCGCGCCGAGCCCGCCTTTGGCCTGCAGAGAGGCGGCGTACGGCAAAGCGAGGGCCAACTTCGAAGTGGCAGTGCCCTCGCGGGCTGGATGGCCCTCAGGACCCACGCGCGCAATGGGTGGACTTGCGGCAGCTGCAGGTCACAGCACGGGGACGGCTAGGATTCCTGCTGGGAGTGTTGGAAGCTCGAGGGCAACATGAAGTCCCAGGGCGACGGCAACCACAGCAGCGGCACCACGGAGAGCTAGGACGCCGCCAAGGCCAAGCTCCGCAAGCTCAGAGGCCACCTCCAGGAGATGCGGAAGCAGGCTCACGACCCCGACGTCGCCCCGTCGGTTGCCGACTACACCACCCACCTTCAGAAGCAGGTTAATGAGTTGCAGGAGGCTGTCGACGCAGGCAGCGACGTCCCGCGATGCTTTTCATAATGCAAGATCGTGCGGGAAAAGAACAAGTGCGAGGCCCAGCGGGGCCGCACCAGGGAGCGAGTCGATCAGCAGCAGAAGGACATCCAACTGGCCCCTGAGAAGCTCGAGAAAGAACAGGCTCTCTTGGCAATGCAGCGCGACAAGATGGCCACGCTGCAAGAACGCATCGACGAGCTCAGCGTGCCAAAGCCAGGGCACTGATGGGGAGCTGCAGTCGTCTTCTTCGAGCAGGCAACCAAATGCTTGCGAGGCCGTGGCGCAGATCCCAAGCTACAGGAAGCGCTGCAGCATGCGCAACACCAACACAACGCACAGGAGAAACGTGCCAAGGCCGCTGTGGCAACGGAGCAGGCGGCAAAGAAGGATCAGGCAACCAAGGAAACCAAAGACACCGAGCAGCGCAACAAGCACAGAGCCGACGAAGATGTCAGGCAAGAGCTGGTGTCTTTCCTTCCTACAGAACGCGAGCGAGGAGCAGGTCAAGAAGATCATGCTGGACGCGGGCTGCAACAAGGACCAGATTGATCGCCATGCGTCTCTTGTCGTACCTCCTCTTGCTGGCATGCTGCACAACACCAGCCTCGACATATCCGCCAGCACATGGACAGCACCGTCGTCTTCCTGATGACAGGCGTGGGGGGCAGGGGTTCTTCACGGTTTATGCGAGTTTCATTGGCACGCTGGAGAGGGTGCTCCGGCACGTCGGGTATACATGTGCGGCGCCAGTGGTCGTGGCGCAGGAGTTGGAGGCGAGCCCGGGCACTATCTCCTGCTTCACCCAGCGCATGAAGAAGCAAGACTGGTGCTTAGGTATCTCACCAGGCGTGCGGACACGGGGGGGCGGATGGAGTGCGGGGGTCCTCCTCGTCACGGTGCCGCCAGTCACCATGGGCTATTCCACGAGTCTCGACACGTGGGACATCTCGCCGCGCGAGTTCAAGGGCCGCCTGGCGATCGGTTGGATGGGCTCCCTAGGCAAGCGTGGCAGCACCATCGGCGCGGCCTACCTGTGGGTCACCGAGGGCATGACCGACCGCAAGGGGGCCATCTTCAGGAACTTCACCGCGGCGGCTACGGTAGCGGGGAAGTACTGGATCTTGGGCGGCGACTTCAACGTGGGCCCGACGGACGTGCAGCAGTCTGGAGTGCTCAACAGGATGGGCGGGGTCGTCGCGTTCGACACTTCGCGGGGGCTGTGCGCCTCCATGGGGGAGGCGCGCCGCAGAGACAACTTCCCAAGACCCTGCTAGATGGCATGCCGAAGGCCACGGTGCAGGACCGGTGCAACGCAGCGCCGCCCTCGCCAGCCCAGCCACGAGTTTCGCTCCTCCAGGCGCAGAGCCGACGGATCAGAGTGCTGCGGCGACTACGACGATGGCCGCTACAGCTGCCCACGGGGCGCTCTCTGCCTGGCCGCTGCCGCTGCCTCCCGAGCGGCGCAGCCAGCGCGACGTCGACGCCTGCTCACTTGCTGGGGCAACCTTGCGACGACATGCGAGGAGCACCTCGGTGTTTTTCTTTCGGCCTCGAGCTCCGGGGGCGCGAGGGCCGCGCGCAGATGCCTGCCTGCGTCTGGGGGCAGATCGAGCCATCCAAGGTCGCCGAGGCCACGCGGGAGCAGCAGTGGGCGGAGGCAGCCGAGTGGCTGGGGTGGCGCCTTTTTCGCGTCACCGCGGCCGTGCGAAGTTGGTTGAGCCACGGCAAGTATGATGCGCTCTACTGGGCGCAAAGCAATGCCAACGGCCTCCGGGAAAACGGCGCCGACTGGCCGCCACTTGAACGACGCCGCCCAGCTTTGAGCAATGTGGGGGGCAACGGGTTCGACGACGACGAGCGCGAGGGCGACAGCGACGCCGCCGACGGTGTCGCGGCGAACGCCGACGACGTGGGCGAGCTGAGCAACGCTAGTGACTGTGTCGATGAGGACGACTTGAACCTCCCAGATATTAGTCCTCGGACTTCTGCTGTCTTCGGCCCAGTGGCCTCGCGGGAGTGCCCGACGGCGGGGGCGGGGGCGGTGCGAGAGCGCCGCCCGCCGACGGGGCAGAGGCAGTGGCAGGGCGTCAACTGGGCCCACCTGGTGAGCACCATCGCCTGGGTCAACGTCACCGCCGCCGCAGAGACGGGCTTGCGCTGCGTGGGCTGCGCAGCCAAGATCATGGCCGTCGCCGGTGCCCGCGCGCGGCGACGAGTGCGGCCTCGCGCAGCGTGAGGCTGGCGCCGTTGCGTCGTTGGGTCACTAAGCATAGCTTGGGGGGAGCGGGAGCCCTACGCAGGTGGACCAAGCCGCCTGTGCCGTGGGGGCCGTTCAAGCCGATGGGCACCCGTGACCAGCGCGAGCTCCTCCACCCTCAGGTGGCCGCGGGCGCGGCGCTGGCAGGGTGCTGGGGCAGTCTGGGCCGACGCCTACCGCGGCAGCGTGCCGTGGTGCCAGGCGCCGAGGGACCGCGATATCAACGAGTGCGCTGTCCTGGGGATCACTCCGAAGGGCGTCTACGAGGCGCGCGGGCGCTTCCGAGCCGCCGCGGGGCTGGGGGGGGGGGGGGGGGGCGACTGGCACCGCGCCCGTGGCGACGTGGGGGCTTCCAAGAGGCAGCGCGCATGGCTAGCGTGCTGCGTGCAATGGAAAGAGGCGCGCCGTGGCCGACGGCGCAGTCCACCATCCTCTTTTCCCTGATGCCGAAGTCCGCGGGCGGCTTCAGCAACCTTGGCGTCGCCAACGAGCTGGCGCGCGCCCGGGGGCCCCCCGCGTCCCCTGCGCCAGGCGCTGGGAGGTCGCCGGCAAGAGGGCCTGTGATTGGGCCCGCCGAGGGCGCTCGTCGGAGCGCGCAGCGTGGCTGCGTGCGTTGTGCTGCAAGGCAGCGCGGGCCGACGGCTACTTGTGCGCGGTGGCCTAATTCGGCCTCGTCAAGGGCTCCGAGCGGGTCGCGCGTCGGAAGGTCTGGGAGGCAGCCGGGCGGTGGGGCTGGAATCCCATCGCCGTGCGCACCGTCCTCAGGATCTGTTGCTCGGTGAGGCGCATCGTCTTGGACGGGTGCTGCGCCAAGGGCAGGGCCTGGCAGCGTGGCGTCGTCGCTGGTAGCAGGTGCGCGCCGTTCTGCCTCATGATGGTGATCATCCTGGAGCTGGGCGAGTTGGTCGGCCAGTTCCCGTTGGCGGACGCCTGCCTCTGCTTCGAGGACCCCGACGTGGTTGCTCGCGGCGTCTGCGATTTCGTCGAAAATTTCTACCCGCTGCCCGTGGCGGCCGTGGTCATCGCGTCTTAGGTGCAGATGGACATTGCTTTTTCGATGGGGGCAGAGGGGGGGCTGTCGCCCTCGCCTCCGCCGCCGTGCTAGGCGAGAACATGGCAGCTGCCACCGGGCACTTGGTCGGCAGAGTCGTCGAGCGCGGGAGTCACCTGGGGGTCGCGGCAGCAGCCGGCGGACGCAGACGAGCCGCGGTCATCGGGATGTGGGCGGTGAAGTTTGCGGCGCGAGCGGCGTGGATCACAGCCGCGCGGCAGGCTGGAGGAACCGCGCGCAATATAGTTAGGCGCGCCAAGGTGCCCGCGCTCTCCTGCGGCTCCCCGACGGCCGGCACGGCATTTTTTTCAGCAAAGCGAGCTGCGAATTGGCGACGGCGATGGAGGGCAGCGCCAAGGGACGGTCGACCAGCCTCGCGCTACTGCGTGACGACGTCGGCCCAGGCACCCTGGTCAACAGCAGCCTTATCATTATGTGGGCCACTGCGTGGCAGGAGGCGCTCGCGGACGCGCAGATGGCAGAGGGGGCTCGACGGCGCATGGCGCGCGTGGGTCATGCAGGCCGCCAGGTGCAAGGCGCCGGGGCTGAAAGTGCGCAGACCTGAAGGAGCGTTTATCGCAGCGGTGAAGGAGGAGGAGGAGGAGGAGGAGGAGGAGGAGGAGGAGGAGGAGGAGGAGGAGGAGGAGGAGGAGGAGGAAGAGGAGGAGGAGGAGGAGGGTGGAGGAGGAGGAGGAAGAGGAGGAGGAGGAGGAGGAGGAGGAGAGGAGGAGGAGGAGGAGGAGGAGGAGGAGGAGGAGGAGGAGGAGGAGGAGGGAGGAGGAGGGAGGGAGGGAGGGAGGGAGGGAGGGAGGGAGGGAGGAGGGAGGGAGGGAGGGAGGGAGGGAGGGAGGGAGAGGAGGGAGGGAGGAGGAGGAGGAGGAGGAGGAGGAGGAGGAGGAGGAGGAGGAGGAGGAGGAGGAGGAGGAGGAGGAGGGGGAGGAGGTGGAGGAGGAGGAGGAGGAGGAGGAGGAGGAGGAGGAGGAGGAGGAGGAGGAGGAGGAGGGAGGAGGAGGCGGAGGAGGAGGGGGAGGAGGAGGAGGAGGAGGAGGAGGAGGAAAGGAAAAGGAGGAGGAGGAGGAGGAGGAGGAGGAGGAGGAGGAGAAAAGGGGGGAGGAGGAGGAGGAGGAGTGAAGGAAGGAAGAAAGGAAGCAAGGAGGAGGAGGAGGAGCAGGAGGAGGAGGAGGCGGAGGAGGAGGAGGAGGAGGAGGAGGAGGAGGAGGAGGAGGAGGAGGAAACGGAGGTTGAAGTTTGGAAAACGTCTCGGGAGGGTACTTCCAAAGTGCTGGGGAACGGGACCTCCAAAGTACCCCCGTCTAAAGTCAGCTGTTGCTGTCTTTGGAGCTGGCTGCTCTAGGTTGCCCGCCTCAGGCTGCTTGCTTCAGCTTGCCCGTCTTCGTGGCGGCCAGCCATGGCGGCAGAGTGTCTTGTGAGATGCGTCGTCGACCTGCTCGGGCCACGGCGCGCAGCTCCGCGAGAATCGTGGCGCCATCAGTGCCAACGCCTTGACTCTGAGGGGGTCGTCGTGGAGCGGTGGCTGCCCTGCCGCGCCCTCGGGCCTCGAGCCTCGCGGGCAGCGGGGCCACGGGCAGTTCCACCTGGCAGGGGCGGGAGGCACGCGCTTCACCCCCCTCTGGTTCAGCCCTCCGCAACCGAATGCTACCCTCCCCTTGTCATTGGATTGCTGGACTTTTTCAGTCGCGGCCGACGAGGTCGGTCGCTGCCAATTTTGCTTCAGATCGCGGGGTCGGTCGCGATCGATTCGCTTCAACGTCGGTCGCGACGCGACCGATTTGGAGTGCCGATCGGTCGCTACCGATCCCGACCGAACTGTACAATCTGGTAGATTCATGTGGTGTCGACGCGGCGGCGACCCAGCCGCGGGCATCCAAGGTCGAATGCCGCCAGTAGCTCAGAATCGGCCCAATAACATGGAGCGATCTGGCGATCGGGAAAGCAGCCGGTGGTTCGAGGCCGAGCGATCCACCCCGCGCCAAAGACCAATGCCGAAGCCGTCACGACACAAACCTGCGCGGCGGCGGCGGCCCCCTGCAACGGCAGAAGCTCGGGCTGGAGGGTTTCTCCGAAGGGCTTAGGCGACCTGTCCTCCTCCTCCTCCTCCTCCTCCCCCTCCTCCTCCTCCTCCCTCCTCCTCCTCCCTCCCCCCCTCTCCCCCTCCCCCTCCCCTCCTCCCCTCCACCTCCACCTCCTCCTCCTCCTCCTCTCCTCTCCTCCTCCTCTCCTCCTCCTCCTCCTCCCTCCCCTCCTCCTCCTCCCCCTCCTCCCCTCCCCTCCCCCTCCACCTCCACTCCTCCTCCTCCTCCTCCTCCTCCTCCTCCTCCTCCTCTCCTCCTCCTCCTCCTCCTCCTCCTCTCCCCTCCTCCTCCTCCTCCCCTCCTCCTCCTCTCCCCTCCCCTCCCCCTCCTCCTCCTCTCCTCCTCCTCCTCCTCCTCCTCCTCCTCCTCCCTCCTCCTCCTCCTCCTCCTCCTCCTCTCCCCCTCCTCCTCCTCCTCCTCCTCCTCCTCCTCCCCCTTCTCCTCCTCCTCCTCCTCGGGACGCCTACGACCCCGGGGGAAGCCTGGCGTAGCGCGCCGAAGGTACCGGCCCTGCGCCTCAGCCCCTGCCTCCAGCCTGCGGAGGCCGAGGGGCGCCGCGGCGGCTCGGGGGACCGCGGCCGCCGCCGCCGGGCGGGCCGCCGCTGCCCCCGCGGGCGTTGCCGCGAGCGTAGGCTCCGCCGCCGTCGTCGTCGTCGTCGTCGTCGTTGTCGTCGCCGTCGTCGTCGTCGTCGTCGTCGTGGAGTCGTCGTCGTCGTCGTCGTCGTCGTCGTCGTCGTCGTCGTCGTCGTCGTGGACGTCTGCGTTGTCGTCGTCGTCGTGTCGTCGTCGTCGTCGTCGTCGTGGACGTCTGCGTCGTCGTCGTCTTCGTCGGCGTCGTCGGCGTCGTCGGCGTCGTCGTCGTCGTCGTCGTTGTGGTGCTCGTGGCGGGGGTCGTCGTCGCAGTCGTGGTTGGCGCGGATCGGGGGGCGTCGATCGAGGTTTCTATATGTTCCCTCCTGGGGTATTCTCGTCGCCGCGGCCAGATCCGCCCCCCCCAAACTGGGTTCAGAATGTGCTGCAGGATAGGTCCAGGGAGTCGTTAATTTCTTCATCGTCGCCGCCGCCGCCGCCGTCGTCGTCGTCGTCGTCGTCGTCGTCGTCGTCGTGGTGGTGGTTGTGGCGGTTGTTGTTGTTGTTGTTGTTGTTGTTGTTGTTGTTGTTGTTGTTGTTGTTGAACATTATTAATTCTAAAGAATAATTATTGTTGGGCCCCCTGGTGCACGCCCCCCCCCCCGCGCCTAGGCCGCAGCCACATTTTCATAATTTTCGTGAGGAAGTCTCAGGTAAAACGATGTCATCCAGATCCGGTTGTTTTGTTGACGCCCGCTTTCCCTGTCAAAAAACACTATAAAATGACATGTCTTGTTCTAACATAACCAAACTTCAAGAATCCTTTGCAAAAAACGACACGAAGTGCACACTCGCGCGCGCAAGATGAAATCCTTCCAAAACCTTAGTTTTCGTAGCGATTTTAACATAAAAACATGAAAAACCCAATGGTTTTTCAAAAAAAAAGTTTCAAAAATCATCTTGCGCGCTCTTGCGGATTTCTGAGGAAACCCAATATTTTTTCAACATTTCTGTCAAACGGGCTCTTGCGAGCAACTTTTTCACGTGCTTCGAACTTCTGCAACAACGGTTGCGCGCATGCCAGGGCCATCATCCCTGTCAAATAATACCATATTGGACACATTCGTTTTTTCTTCGCGCGCGCACGCCGTCGTCGTCGGCCGCGGGGCCCTGAATAGTAGCCACGGTCGTCCGCATGCCACGAAGTGAAGTGTCCGAACGTCATAGGGCGGGAAGCTGGGTGTGGGTGGTGGCGAAGAGTCGTATGGAAATTTGGTAGAGCTTGAACCGGCCCCCCCACAAAGTGGGGGTATTGCCCGCCTCCTATGAAAACCCTGGCACTGGTGAGAACGGAGTGTCCCCAGTCTTAAATGATTGTTGTTGTTGTTGTTGTTGTTGTTGTTGTTGAACTTGCATTTCTGAAGGATAATTATTGTAGATCCCCCCCGTCCGGTGCACATGTTTTTTTTCCGATTGAAGTGCCCTTCCCGGGGCTCGCACCCTGCTTTTTTATCAGGGAAAGTCTTGGGGGTCAAACTGTGTCGTTGGCCCCCGGTTTACAACAACAACGGCTCCCGCGTGAGACTTCCTCACAATTTAGCCAGGACCCCCGCTCCCGCCCGAGACTTCCTCGCGTTTTACTCAGGAATCGCGCTCTCGCTTGGGACTTCCTCAGAATTTATTATCCCGGCGCTCTGGAGTCGCGTTCTCGCTGGAGACTTGCTTGCAATTTACTGAAGATAGCGCCGTTGCGTTCGAATTTCCTGCAATTTACTCAAGCGCCGCGCTCCCGACACCCAGGCACCCAGGAGTCGGGCTCACGCTTAGGACTCCCTCACAGGTTACATAGGAATCGAGATCTCGCTGCCCTTCGTGGCCCCGTTGCAGCCCTTCGTGGCCCCCTCGCTTTGTTTCGTGGCCCCGTTGCAGCCCTTCGTGGCCCACTCGCTGCCCTTCGTGGCCCCGTTGCAGCCCCTCGTGGCCTCCTCGCTGCCCTTCGTGGCCCCGTTGCAGTCCTTCGTGGCCCCTTCGCCTTGTTTCGTGGCCCCGTTGCAGCCCTTCGTGGCCCCCTCGCTGCCCTTCGTGGCCCCGTCGCAGCCCTTCGTGGCCCCGTTGCAGCCCTTCGTGGCCCCCTCGCTTTGCTTCGTGGCCCCGTTGCATCCCTTCGTGGCCCCCTCGCTGCCCTTCGTGGCCCCATCTATGTATGCCCTTCGTGGCCCCCGCTCGTTCGCGCCCGTGGTAGCCCCATATGCATCTGTCCTACGTGGCCCAGTTGCTACCCTCAGTGGCCCCATCGTTGCCTTCTGTGGCCCCGCATTATCTGCCCTTCGTGGCCCCCGCTCGTTCGCGCTCTTCGTGGCCCCATACGCATTTCCTTCGTGTCCCCGCTGTTGCCCCTCGTGGCCTACTTCGTGTCCTTGTGGCCCTGCTGTCGTTCTCCTTCGCTCTCGCTTTCGCTCGTCGTCGTCGTCGCCGTCGTCGTTGTCGTCGTCGTCGCCGTCGTCGTCGACGTCGTCGTCGTCGTGGTCGGTCCCCTGTCCGTCCCTCTTGGGGTCGGGTCGACGGTCCGCGGCTGCTGCTGGCCAGGCCGACGGTCCGCGGCCACCCCGCCGCTTGCCGGGGCCCAGCCTGCAGGGAAGAAAGGTATACCCCCCAAAAGGGGTTCGATCGGAGACGAAGAGGGCGGGTATCGAGGGTTTGGGAAATAGGCGCTATTGGACACTCGAGCAGATAAGGGCGAACAGTCTTAAACTGATGATAGTAGTAGTAGTAGTAGTAGTAGTAGTAGTAGTAGTAGTAGTAGTAGTAGTAGTCGTCGTCGTAGTCGTCGTAGTAGTAGCCGTAGTAGTAGTCGTAGTAGTAGTAGTAGTAGTAGTAGTAGTAGTAGTAGTAGTAGTAGCAGCAGTAGTAGCAGCAGTAGTAGTAGTAGTAGCAGTAGTAGTAGTAGTAGTTGTTGTTGTTGTTGTTGTTGTTGTTGTTGTTGTTGTTGTTGTCTCATATCTAAAGAATAATTATTGCTGATCTCCGGAAACGGTTCCGCGCGCTCTCGCCTCGACGCCGGCTACATTTTTCTCTGAAGGCGAGGCTCCCGCTCGAGCGTTGGCTTGACCCTGCAATTCCTCATAATTTACCTGCGACACCCTGGCCAGAGAGGCCCCCGAACTCAGGAACGGCGCTCTCGCTCGAGACTTCTTCCTCGCAGTTCAAGCAAGTTGGCGGAGGCCCAGCCACGACGACAAGGGCTCCTGCTCCATACTTCCTCACAATTTATCCCGAGACGCCCTGGCCAGAGATGCCCCCGAACTCATGAACGGCGCTCTCCCTCTAGACTTTCTTTTAGTTCAGGCATGTTGACGGAGGCCCAGCCACGACCACAAGGGCTCTTGTTTGATATTACCTTACGATTCACTTCGAGAGCCCCTGGCCAAGAAGGCCCCCGAACTCATGAACGACGCTCTCGCTCGAGACTTTCTCGTAATTCAGGCAAGTTGGTGGAGGCCCGGACACGGCGACAAGGGTTCCCGTTCGATATTTCTCCACAGGTATTCCGAGAGCCCCTGGCCAGAGAGGTCCCCGAACTCAGGAACGGCGCTCTCGCTCGAGACTTCCTCACACTTCAGTCAGTGGCCGACAAGGAAAGATTCCCCCCGAAAGGGGGTACAATCGAAGACGACGTGGGCGGGTATCGAGGGTTGGGGTATACGGGATGCAAGACACGCGTGCCAGTAAGAACGAACAGTCTTAAAATGATTGTTGTTGTTGTGGTTGTGGTTGTGGTTGTGGTTGTGATTGTGGTGGTGGTGGTGGTTTTTGTTGTTGCTGTTGTTGTTGTTGTCGTCGTCGTCGTCGTTGTTGCTGTTGTTGTTGTGGGTGTGGGTGGTGGCGAAGAGTCGTTTGGAAATTTGGTAGAGCTTGAACCGGCCCCCCCACAAAGTGGGGGTATTGCCCGCCTCCTATGAAAACCCTGGCACTGGTGAGAACGGTGTGTCCCCACGTGCGAGTAATTGTTGAACATTATTAATTCTAAAGAATAATTATTGTTGGGACCCCTGGTGCACGGCCCCCCCGCCGCGCCTAGGCCGCAGCTACATTTTCATCATTTTTTCGCGAAAGCTTCAGAAAAGTGGATGGGGTCCAGATCCGGTTGTTTTGTTGTAATCCGTTTTCCCTTGCAAAAAACACTATAAAATGACATTTCTTGTTCTAATATAATCAAATTTCAAGAATCCCTTGCAAAAAATAAGGTAAAGTGGACATTCGCGCGCGCAAGACGAAATCCTTCCAAAAGCTTAGTGTTCGGAACGATTTTAACATAAAAACATCAAAAAACCAATGGTTTTTCAACAAAAAAATGTCAAAATCTCATCCCGCGCGCTCTTGCGGATTCGTAGGAAACCCAACACTTTTTAAACATTTCTGTCAAACGGGCTTTTGCGAGCAACTTTTTCGAACTTCTGCGACAACGGTTGCGCACCTGCCAGGGCCATCATCCCTGTCAAATAATACCATGCGGGACACATTCGTTTTTTCTTCGCGCGCACGCCGAAATCTCCATCTTGTGAGTACGTATCATGTGTATCATGTGTATCATGTACCATATGCATCATATGCAACAGATGTTCTGTGGAAGGCTTAACAACTTCTGTGGGTTAACAAGGCTTAACAACTTCTGTGGGTGTACGAACGTAGGCTTAACAACTTCTGTGGGTGTGTACTCCACGCCAGTGTAGTAGCCACGGTCGTCCGCAGGCCACGAAGTGAAGTGTCCGAACGTCATAGGGCGGGAAGCTGGGTGTGGGTGGTGGCGAAGAGTCGTGTGGATATTTGGTAGAGCTTGCACTGCCCCCCCACAAAGTGGGGGTATTGGCTGGCGTCGCATGAAAACCCTGGCACTGGTGAGAACACTGAGCGTTCGGGTAAAGTGATTGTTGTTGTTGTTGTTGTTGTTGTTGTTGTTGTTGTTGTTGTTATTATTGTTTTTGAGTTCTCACTGCAGAAGAATAATTATTGTTGATCCCCCATCCGGTGACCATTGTGTTTTTTAATTGAAGTGCTTCCCCCCGGGGCTCGCACCTTGTTTTTATAAGGGAAAGTCGCGGGGCTCAAACTGGGCCCCTGGCCCCTGGTTTTACAACAACATCAACTCCCGCCTGATACTTCCTCACACTTGATTCCCAAATCGCGCTCTCGCGCGGGCCTTCCTCACAATTCATGCACGCATCGCGGTCTCGCGTGGGACTTTCTCGCAATTTATTCAGACGATGCACTCTCGACGCTCAGGAGTCACGCTCTCGCTCTGTCTTTTCTCACGATTTACTTGGGAATCGCGCTGTCGCTCGAGATTCATGCAGGACGCACGCTTCAGCAACCCGCCTGCTCGACCTCGTCGCCTGGGCCCGCCTTCCCGACCTGCCCGCTATTGGTCTGCCTACCCGATCTGCCCGTCTGGTTCTACCACTTGTTTCATGATCCTTGCCCCCCTTCTGCTAATTTCTCTCGTGCTCCATTCTTCTCCCTCCCCCTTCCACCCGTCCTCTTTTCTCTTGTTTCAGGGGCTGCACTAAATGCACGTGTCAGGTAAGGAAGATATACCCCCAAGGGGGTACGATCGAAGACAACGAGGGCGGGTACCAAGGGTTTGGGATATGCGGTTATACGTATTGATTGGCACGTGAGCAGATCGGATCGAACAGTCTTGACATGATTGTTGTTGTTGGTGGTGTTGTTGTTGCTGATGTTGTTGGGGTGGTTGTTTGTTGTTATTCGTATTCGTGTTTTTGTATATCCTCATGTGGTTGTTTTTGTTTTTGTTATTGTTGCTGTTGTTGTTGTGGTTGTGGTTGTTGTTGTTGTTGTTGTTGTTGTTGTTAGTACTCCTATTATTATTGTTGTTGTTGTTGGTGTTGTTGTTGTTGTCGTCGTTGTCGTTGTCGTTGTCGTTGTCGTTGTCGTTGTCGTTGTCGTTGTTGTTGTGGTTGTGGTTGTTGTTGTTGTTGTTGTTGTTGTTGTTTCTGCTACTGCTGCTGCTGTTGTTGTTGTTGATGCTGTTGCTGCTGCTGTTCTTGAACTTTCATTACTGATCAATGATTATTGGTGATCCCCCCTCTGGTAAATTATGTGTTTTTTTATTGAAGTACACTTCCTGGGGCTCGCACCCGGTTTTTTATCAGGGAAGATCTTCCCCCTCAAGCTGCGATGTTGGGCCCCGAACTACAACAATAACGGCTCCGGCCTTATATTTCCTATCAATTTATTCCCAAACCGCGCTCTCGCGCAGGACTTCCTCACAGTTTATTCAGGAATCGCGCTCTCGCGTGGGACTTCCTCGTAATTTATTCAGACGCCGCGCCCTCGACATTCAGGAGTCACGCTCTCGCCGTGGATTTCCTCACGATCGATCTGGGAATCGAGCTGTCGCTCGAGACTTCCTCGCGACTCATGCAGGACGCACGCTTCAGCAACCCGCCTGCTCGACCTGGCCGCCTGGGCTCTCCTTCCCGACCCGCCTGGAAGGGTCTACCCGCCCGATCTGGCCGTCTGGTTCTGCCACGTGTTTTCTGCTCCTGGCCCCCCTACTCCTAGTCTCTCTCGTGCTCCATCCTGTCCCTTCCTTCCATCCGTCCTAACTTCCCCTGCCTCAGGGGCTGCACGAAATACACGTTGCAGGTAAGAAAGATATACCCCCAAGGGGGTACGGTCGAAGACGACGAGGGCGGGTACCAAGGGTTTGGTTTACGTATTGATTGGCACGTGAGCAGATAGGAGCGAACAGTCTTAACATGATTGTTGTTGTGGTTGTTGTTGTGGTTGTTGTTACTGTTGATGAGAACGTGTTCCTGGGGCCTGGGTGCGTTGCGCCTGGGGGCGGGCGCAACGCAACCGCGCAACGCTCGAGCGCGAGCGTGGTTGGGTTGCGACCTCCCCCCCGCGAATTGTGCCCTCCCGTGCGCGATTTGCGCCCCCCCCCCTTGCGCGTCTCGGGCGCCCATCGCGTGGCGCTCCATAGGGTTCCACGGCAGCCCGCATCGGATCTGTACCAGGTTCATCGGATCCCATACAGGCCCCGTATGTGATCTGTATCGGATCCCGTACAGGCCGTAGGGGATCTGTATCGGATCCCATGCAAACCGTATGGGATTTGTGCCGGATCCCACACAGGGCGTATGGGATTTGTATCGGGTCCCATACAGGCCGTATGGGGTGTATCAGATCCCATACAGGCCGCATGGGATCTGTATCGGATCCCATACAGGCCATATCGGGTCTGTCTCGGATCCCAAACAGGCAGTATGGGATCTATATCAGATCCCATACAGGCAGTATGGGATCTGTATCGGACCCCACACAAGCCGTATGGGATCTGTATCGGGTCCCATGCAGGCCGTACGGGGTCTGTCTCGGATGCCATACAGGCCGTATGGGATGTATTTCGGCACATGGCTCACATGGTTCGTGTTCGTGGCCCCACAAGGGGGACAACCGCAGGTTTCGGGTCCATTTCGGCACACCCCTCAAACGGTTCGTGGCCCCATGGGTGGCGCAACCGAAGGCTTTCGCGGCCCCAGAGGCCACAGTGGGCGCAACAGAAGGCCTCTGGCCGATTTCGGCACACCCCTCACACGGTTCGTGGCCCCACGTGTGGTTCTCCCTGTTCTTCGTTCTCCTCACCATTCCCCTCCTCTTTCTCTTCCCCTCTCCGCTTCATCCGCCTCCTATTCCTCCTCCCCTGACGGGCAGTCTTCCTCCTCCTCCTCCTCCTCTTCCTTCCCTCCTCCTCCTCCTCCTGCTACCCGTCCTCCGTCTTCTTCCTCTTCTTCTTCTTCTTCTTCCTCTTCTTCTTCCTCTTCTTATTCTTCTTCCTCCTCCTCCTCCTCCTCATCCGTCCTCTTCCTCCGCCTCCTCCTCACCCTTCTCCCTCCCTCCCTCCCTCCCCCCCCTCCCTCACTTCCCCTTCCTCCTGTCTCCGCCTCGTCCTCCCCCCCTCCTCCCCCCACGAGGCTCCAGCGGCCACCCTGGCAACTGCCGCCCGTGCGCCCACGCCTGGAAGCCGGCCGGCTGCTCGAAGGTGCGACGGCCGCCGCCCCTTCCTCGAAGTTGCTCGGGGACGGAGGTTCCCAGCCGTTTTCGTCGGTTCCTTGGGTCGCCCCTGCGGGGGGCCGCAGGTCGTCTCGCGAGGCTCTCCGACACTGGTCTTGGGCTGCCCCCCGTGGCTTCCCGTGGCCCTCGGTGTCCCTCGGTGCCTCCCGAGCCCATGTCCGCGTGGGCACGCTGCACCCCGGGGGCCGTTCCCCAGGCAAGCCGTTCCCCCACAGCTTCCCTCTGGGGTGCCTTCTGGCTGTTTCTCCGTTCCCCCTGCCGTGCGCCCGGGCCGCTCCCGGCTCCGCCCCCACCCCCCTCACCGGGATGAGTTGGATCCCCGGCAGAAGGTTTTAAGGCCCAGCAGAAAGGGCTAAGTCCTTCAGGTGACCACGTGAAGTGTGAGAACATTTCCCTGCCGGGGATTTCACCGAACGGAATTCTCATATTGGTGATTCGACTTGCATCCAATCGACTTCCTTCCAGTCGGGATCCAATCTGGGTCCTGGTAGGATCTAATGCGATTCCTGCGTATCGGATTTTTATTGGTATCCCAATGGCATCCTGTTGGTATCCTATGGGATCCTATGTGAGTCCTTCTCTTAGAGGTCCAATCGGATTCCTCCGTATTGGTATCCGATTGGGATCATGTTAGTACGCTGGAATACGACTGGGATTCTATGGGAATGCAGTCGGATTCCTCTGACCGAGTCCCGACGACATCCTACTGTTGTATTGGGTCACGACCACTGGCTTCCAATTGGAATCCTATTGGAATTCAGTCGGGATCCTATAGTCAATCCGATTGCCTTCCAATGGGACACACTAGTATCCTTCTTACTAGAATTGTATCGGGTTCCGATTGGAATCGTATTGAAATCCAATCGGATTATTTCCTATAGGATTCCTATTCGCATCCTATTGGAAGCCATGTGGATTCCAAAGGTTCCTTACCATTGGAGTCCTACTGGGATGTTAGTCGCTTCGCTCATTCCGCCGGCCCATTTCGCATTACTGTGGCTGCGTGGTGGTGTGCTCGTGCCCAGGGGGAACAGTAGGGCAGGCAGGACGGTCTTCGAAGAGGTCTCTGGAGACGTGGCTCGCACCCAGAGGGCGCCAATATGGCTCAAGAGAGCTCCAGTAGAGTTTCGAGATGTACCTGGGTTGTGGGTCAAAGTCTTCATGGATGCTTCTTGGGCTCTGTTCGGAGGGAGCCTCTGGGGAGCAGTTTTGAGGCCTCCAGGGAGCCTCTTGGGGGCTTCTTGGGGGCCTCTTTGGGCTTACTGGGGGCCTTTTGGGAGTCTTGGGGGCCTCTTTTTGGGTCTCGGGGCCTCTTGTGGCCTCTTGGTGGGCTCTTGGGGGCCTCTGGGGGCTTCCTGGGCGCCTCTTGGTGCCGATAGCTCGAAATGTCAGTTCGGGTCCCCGTTTGGGCCCGCTCTTGGAGCCGTCTTGGGAGCCTCTTCGGCCATCTTGGAGGCCTCTGGGGCTGTCTTGGGGCCCTCTGGGGCCGTTTTGGGTGCTCTTGGAGGCCTCTTGGGCCGTGTTGGGGCGATCCTGGAAGCCTCTTGGGCTTCTTTGGAGCGCCAGTAAGCAGAAAAGGCGAGGACGCCAAAAACTTTTACAAATTAAATGGGAGGTCTCTTGGAGGCCTCTTGGGGCGTCTTGCAGGCGCTTTGGGTTGTCTGGAGGCCATCTGTGGCGTCTTGGATCGCTCTTGGACCGTCTCGGATCATGTTGAGTTCTCTTGGAGACCACTTGAAGCGCTCCTGGAGCGCTCTTGGGAGTCCGAGCCTGCTGGGACCTCGCCGGGACCTTGTCAGGACCTGCCCGAGACCTGCCTGGGACCTTGCTAGGGTGCTTTTCGTCCGGGGACCCCCAGGGTCGGCCCCGCGCGCGCGAACCAGAAATACTGTTAACCAGAGATCTTAGCACGCCCTTGGCCCGTTGGGCCGGCGAATTGTATGGTTCCTCTTGGAATCCAATGCGATTCCTTCCCATTGGAATTCCTTCGCATTGGATTCTTATTTCTTGGGCTCTTCCGGGAATCCTAGTGTAAACCAGCAGTTCGCACATAGGATATGTTGGGTTTCTGCTGGGATCCTATGGGGTACAATCGGATTCCTTTCCGATTGGGCTTACATTGGAATCCAGTTGGATTTATATTCGGACTCCAATCAGACAATAAGATGGAATCCGATCGGATTCCCGTTGAAATTGTCTCTGGGCGACCATTGGCAGCCGCGCATTCGTCGTGTGTCGTGCCGAAGCCACGAATACTGCCAGAAGGTTTCCAAGAAGGCCTCCAAGTGTTGGTTGCATGGCTTGAGCTAGAATCGAGGAATCGCTGTCTATGATTCTGAGATCGAAAGACGTGGTTTAACCACACTAGGGGTACCCTCGTATACCATCGCAAGGATGCTCCGTCTCTCAGCAAAACTGTGCGGCTCCAGCTCTTTGGCGTACTAATGAAAGATGTGGCCCGTGCCAGCTCATCGTCACATTGAGGACCAGGCTTTCAGGGACACTTGGAAGCGACTCCTGATACGCTGCTGCAGCCAACTGATTAGCGAATGTATCTTGACGGACGTTATCGCACATTATGAGTGAGTAATGGGACACACACATATACATATATACATCCATGTATATGTAGACGCATAAGTGTATATACGTTTTTTCTACGGGCGTTCGCCCGCGGTACGATCGTAGTATGCCCGCTGGACTCTTACACTCCTGCAGGGGGAAAATGGGGAAAATGGCAGCGGAGACGGGAGTGGGATACTTGACGATAAGTGCTAATGACGACACAGCAAACTGCTTGGATTTCAGGCCCTCGGTTGGGATACAAAGGACACCAAGAGGCCGCATCAGGCAAACATCGTCCCAGTCCCTCGGGTGAGCGCACGTGTTTAGCATGTTCGCCGTATTGGCCATAAAACCGTCCAAGGCGGCCCAACCCCCATATCGCCCCACGACGGCCTACGAGGCCCCAAGGTGGACCCACGGTGGCCCAAGAGGGCCCCAGCAGGCACGCTTCCCAAAGGCCCAAACGAGCCCCCACACGGCCTCCGTGAACGGGCCCTCAAAGGCTCCAGCAGGCCTCTCGGGACGCCCAAGAAGCCTCGCGGGAGGTCCAGCAATCGTCTTTGGACGCCCAAGAAGCTTCTCGGGACGCCTAAGGAGCCTCTCGGGACACCCAAGAGGCCTCTCGGGACGCCCAAGAGGCCTCTCGGGACGCCCAATAAGCTTGTCGGGACGCTCAAGAAGCTTCCCGGGACGCCCAAAGGGCTTTTTGGGACGCCCAAGACGCTTCTCGGGATGCCCACGAGACTTTTCGGGACGTTCACGAAGCCTCTCGGGACGCCGAAATTAGATTTCGGGAGGCCCACGAGGCTTCTCGGGACGCTGAGGAAGTCTCCCGGGGCGCCCAAGCTGCGGAGGCCCAAGAAGCTTCTCGGGACGCCCAACAGACCCTTCGGGACGCTCAAGAGCCTTCCTCTCGGTAGGTCCAAGAGGCTTCTCGGGACGCCCCAAGACATTCTCGGGACCCTAAGAGGCCCATCGGAACGCCCACGTTGAATCTTGGGGGCCCACGGGGCTTTTCGGGACGTTCGACGAGCCTCTCGGGACGCTCAAGAAGCTTCTCGGACGCCCAAGATACCTCTCGGGAGGCTCACCGAGCGTACCACAATATTTCCTCACATCAGCGCTCGACAGCCAGCGGTATTGGCTTCCGGGGTCTGCCGTTGATTAAACCCTTCTGCCAGGGACCCCCACCCACGGAGCGGCAGTGGGAGGGGAATCATGGAGGAATGGGGGGACGAGGAGGATGGAGGAGGGGCAGGAGGAGGAGGCGGAGGAGGAGGCAGAGGAGGAGGATAAGGAGGAGGCGGAGGAGGAGCAGGATGATGCTGCTGCTGATGATGATGCCGCTGCTGATGCTGATGCTGATGCTGATGATGATGCTGCTGCGGATGATGGTGATGCTGATGATGATGATGCTGACGATGCTGATGCTGATTAGGATGAGGATGCTGATGATAATGATGCTGCTGCTGATGCTGACGATTCTGATGGTGATGATGCTGATGATGCTACTGATGATGCTGCTGCTGATGATGATGATGCTGATGCTGATGCTGAGGATGATTATGCTGATACTGATACTGCTGCTGCTGCTGCTGCTGCTGATGATGATGATGATGATGATGATGATGATGATGGTGTTGCTGATTATGATGATGCTGCTGATGATGAGGATGATGAGGGTCATGCTGCTGCTGCTGATGATGATGATGATGCTGCTGCTGCTGATGATGATGATGATGATGATGATGATGATGATGCTGCCGCTGCTGCTGCTGATGATGATTATGATGATGATGATGATGATGATGATGATGATGATGATGCTGCTGCTGCTGCTGGTGATGATGTCGCAGATGCTGCCCATGATGTTGCTGTCGGTGATGATGCTGATGATGATGCTGCTGATGATGCTACTGCTGATGATGATGATGATGATGAGGAGGAGGAGGAGGAGGAGGAGGAGGAGGAGGAGGAGGAGGAGGGGGAGGAGGAGGGGAAGGAGGAGGAGGAGGAGGGAGGAGGAGGAGGAGGAGGAGGAGGAGGAGGAGGAGGGGGAGGTGGAGGAGGAGGGGGAGGGGGAGGAGGACAAGCTAGGTGCGCTCGCGTCATATCTGACATGCTACCCTTCCCTCCCATCCCTTACCATGGCGCAGATCCCCTCTCTACTCGCACAGTCGGATGTCAAGCAGGGCGATGATCCCGAAAGGGTACGCGATGCATTGTAGAGCACGGCATGGCATGGCGTAGAAGAGCACCGCGAAGCGTAGTATCAACCTGGCATTGCATTGCATGCCGTGGCATGGCACGGGAAATGACGCCAGCGCTGCAGCGGGAGCACGAGTCGAAACGAGCGGAAGCGCGGAAATGAGGCCAGCGCTGCAGCGGGAACACGATTCGGAA